GGATCCGGAGCCTCCAAGTTGGTTTTCAGAAAGCTACTAACCAAGCCAAGGCCAAATAAGCCTTCCTTCAGCTCCTCCTAGCCCTACATTATTTCCCACTTGGTAGTCTAAGTGACTCAATAATCTTGCCTCATCTTAAACAATGATAAGAAGAAACAATTAAAAAAAAAATCTACAGAGAAGAAAATAGCAAATGTACAGGAGCAAACTGCGGGCATCAGTTTGCCATAAACGTTAGCAGTAAGAGATGGAGGATGAAGACGATTTACTCCAGAGCTACCAATCCAACATCAACTCTGTATGCAAGGAGGATTTTAAAATCAGAACTTTATCTTAAAAGATGCATAAAAAGGTGAGCAGATCATAGCCCTCCAAAGACAGCCATGTGAGCCAAAGGGCTTCGTTTGGGCTCATGCTAATTAGCAAACCTACCCCAAAGATATCAGAAATTATATTTATTTCTAAACAAATCGTCTGAAACAAAGTGGCGGGGGGAGGGGGCAGGCAAAGCAGGAATCAATAGCAAACTTCAGCTCCCCAGTCTCCCCTTCTCTTAAACTGCCTGGGTCTTTCACCCTACAGCTCCCAGACAAAACCACACAGGGAAGCAAACCACACCGCAGGAAGCAAACACAAGTACTATTCAGCTTCTCGTAGCACTGTTTGCACAGAAGGAATTGCTGGTTCAAGCACAGACAATTCCACTGAGTGAAAGGAGGAAGAGTGTCTAATTTAGGCCATTCACAAAGGAAAGCTAGCTTCAGGTGCAGTCTCTTTCATACCCCAGAGGGAGCAGCTGATTTCATCTACAACTCGGAAACAAAAGTTTGTTTGCTATTTGCCCTAGAGTAAAAAGCCAAAGCAAAGTTCTTTGCCATGCGCTGACCTCTGTAAAAAGTCTGAAAAGAACATGTGTGTCATTAAATCCAAGATACAGTTTTGACATGGAGCCCCGAGACCGGCAGCTTCTCCATTAGCTCCCTCTGGCTTAGCCCCAGGCTGCACAACTACCACTACGCCGGCATAATTAAACACCAGAGTGGGAGATGGAGGGACATCATTACTTGCTCTGAAAGCGTGAAGACGACTACTGGCCCAGGCTAATCACTTCAGTTTGCATCACCCTTCAGTCTCCCAACGCTAAGGGACTAACAGCCTAAGAGAACTGGGGAAGTGATGAGAAACCACAACACGCACAGAAAGCAGAGTGATAAGGCTGACAGATATGGAGGTCAGGCGACCTCCTTCACTTCAGGAACATCACATCCATCTTCTCCAAGGACAAAGAGAGAGAGAACTCCACTGAAGGAGAGCAGGTGTTGGGCCATGGCCCTTCAGGCTCCCGTGGGTTTCCCTTGGTGTTGCATCAGCTGAAAAGAGAAGAGAGGCTGATAATTCTACAGGGCACAGTGCGACGGCTCCTTGGGGTTGCCAAAAGGACTGCAGCAGTTGTAGGTTTTGTTTTAACCAGGTGCATTTTAAACTACAGCAACTGTTAAGAGGAATGAGAGGGAATGAGCAGAGAGTCCTTGTATCTACACTACTTCTAGTCCCAAAAGACCAAGTCACCAGCCAAACTGAAGAACACGGTTCTGAGATGCACAGCAGACTGGCAGTGAAGCATTTTAGGGAATCAGACACAAACAGTTAAGCAACAAGCTATAGACAAGCACTTTTAACCAGTTTGGAAATAAAAAAACAACAACAACGTGAAAGACAAATTGAAAAATTCTGCCTGGAAAAGCAGTACACAGCATGAGATCACAGAATTCAACAGACTATAAAATAGGAAATGAGACTTACTCTTCTCTCCCTACAGCTACAGAAAACCCTCCTACAAAGATTACCGACATGCTCGGCAATTGCCTTCCTCCTCCAGCCTCTCCTGTTGTGGACAAGGCAGAGTTATTGAAGACCGAATGCAGAGAGGATATTAGATAAAGCATCTTGCAAAGCCAAGTGTGAAATACTAACAACAGGAGGCAATGGGTTGTGTTTTTATGCAAGATCACAAATTTGGTGTTTAGAGAGCCTGAGAGACCCTTGCATACTGGTACCTCAAAGCGCTTGTTGAATGTTTAATTTAAAAAGCTACTGAGGCCTACTGGAAAATTTCTATCAGTATATCTTCTCTAACTTCGTTGTTTCATTTCTTTTTCCTTCTTGTAATGCTAAGAACTTACACATAAATAAAAACTTGGTTTCTTCCACCCGTCTGGCCAGTTTTAAAACAGTTTGTACTTCTAAAGTGGGCACTCTGCAAGCCTATGTTTTCACATTAAATTATCACCGTTGTGCACACTGGATGCAAATTACTGAGTGCATTTGTACACACAATTACCCAATTTGCACGCAGAACTGCAGTAATTGAGCGGGCAAAACGGACACGCTGCTGTTCAGCTGAACGGAGCATTGACTACGAACCGCAGCTGGCATTGGGCAGTTTTGGTTTGAGTAGGTAAAAAAAGGTTATTGATATTCCTGGATGCAAAAAAGCTCCTTTTTAAAAAGCTCCTTTTTGCGCAGCACATGCAGCACAGATAGCAGCGCTCTGGCTGCCCCTACCCTACCTCCACATTTGAGGAAACTGCCTCAAATTCAGCCTCCACAATAGACTTAGACCTTGTTTACCCTGCCATCCAAGTTGCCCATTAATGCCAGCTGCGACAGCAGTTGTGTGATAAGGACATCTATTCAGCACTGGACACCAGGCTCCAGGAATAATGATCTTTGCCACTTTGGAACGTAACTGACACCTGCTGTCACAATCTTGCACAAAAAAAAAATTCACACTCTGAATTTCGAACAGGCAGTCAAGGAGAAACGTACGCAGGAGCAGCTTATGGCAAGATGCAGGGTTTCTTCCCTCTTTGTAAGGGCCTCAGTAATATAGGACCAGTGAAGAGGAGAAAGGAAAACAGTGTAACCTGTGCTAACAGTTAAAAGCTGTATACAGTGTACAGTGTAACCTGTACCTTTTTTACTTATATGGCATCTGAGGCTCTGCAAACTCAGTTTCATCCTTGGCAACCTCCTGTTGACACCTCTGCTCATCAGTTTTTCCCAAGCTGAGATACCCGAGCCAAAGGTCAGGGCAACAGTAGCAACTACCCTGTTCCTGGGCACTATCCAACCCCAAGGGAAAGGGACTCTCTGAAAGGCAGATGGGACCACAGTCCCAGCACCCACAGAATCACCATGAGATTTGTACAGACTCGTCGCGGAGTAGGCTCAAATCCTACCCCAGCACGGCAGGACTGAAGAGTTTTCAACTTCAAAGCTACACAAACGAATGAATTTTTGTCCTCAAACTACCACAGACTGAGGGTTACGTGAGCCAGTACTGAAGGAGGATGAGGTGGAAGAGGTACATTTTCAGTTAATAACCAAGCAGTCCTTCATCTGGAGATACTGGATGGCCTTAGAGTGCCACTTTGTCCTTGCTGGGCTGCAAAACAGCCGCAGTGCACCTGGCCAGCATTAGCTGGAGATGTTACATTTATGATTTTATGGCTGATTTTTTCCCCCTACCCTCTATCAATTGAGTTCACCGTCTGAATGATCACATCGGTTTATGTTCCACAGACACCTGCATATCTGGAGATGATAGTAACTCCCTGAATGCTGTAATCAGTTATTTCTCAACAGAGGAATTGCCAATTTGGTAAATAAAGCTCATTATAAAAGAACATGGAAATGTATTACAGTTTCCTAACAGAGAAAATTGTCCAGTGCCGCAAGATAATCAGCTCTAGCATCATAGTCCCCTCCAGTTTAGGGTGGCTGAAATCATGACATGCAAATTACTTGTGCCAAGGTAACACTGGATGGAGGCAAGAGGAAAATGAAGAAGAGACAAAATAGGTATTTTTCTCTTCAGACCAACAATAATTTAACATCTAGTCAGGGATAAACCTTGCTGCTCTAAATTTGTGTGTGCAGCATCAGAAGTTCAGTGGCTCGGTGGCACCAGGCTACCCTAAGCAGATCCCAAAGTTGGTATGGCAGCAGCAGAAAAAGTTTGCCCAATGCTGCTAGAGACAGACCAAAGGGCACTAAGTGTCCTACTTGGGCTTAGAAAACTTACCCTTCCTCCTTTGGGGACAGCATGTTTGACCTGCACGGGGATAAAAAGATAGAAATTTTTCAAGATCTGGAATTAACAAAGAAGAGCTGTGAATAAGCAAACATTGTGCTTGTGAGGAGGAGGAAGGCTGTGGCATCGGCGCCCCAAGGGAAGGAAAGAGATTTTGTCCCTTTAACCAAGATCTAAAGCATGATGTTGCTGCCTAAAGAGACCAAGCAGGACATAAGGCAGAAAACAGTTCTCAGCCCCCCTCATCCATTTTCATAAACGCTACATAAACCTGACTTGACCTCCCAAAAAAAAAAAAAAAAAAAAAAAAAACCACCACCTATGTTCACATTCTTCAGAACCTGTCAGATACCAGGTCAGAGAGGACACAAGGAGCAAACAATGCCAACTGGAGGAGAGGCTTTAGCCAGAGAAAGGGAATTAAGTTACAAAAATAGACCTGCTCACCTGTGCTGCTGACAGATCTGTTGCAAACCTGTTGCACCTACCACTTATAAGAGGATGAAATGCCAGAATGCCAGACACAGACAGCTCCCACTGCCCCTTGGCTCCGCAAAGAGAAGGCACAAAACAGAGTACGAGGCTGAGGAGGGACGGTGCTTTATAGCAGATAAAGGAGGAACTGTACACAAGAGCCAGTGCAGAGAAAGAAAAAT